CATAAGTGAAGTATATAATATTTTCTTTATTTTTTCCTCTTCTTCTATGTATCGTGTCTCTTCACGATATTGGTTGTCATGGCTCTCCACAATTTTGTCTTTTTGTTACCTCTGCTAAACCTTGCTCCACCATCCATTGACACAAGCTTGATAGGTAGGTTATGCGTTGTTTTCCTCTTGTTTTCAATCTATCCTGTGAGTATCAAATTTTCCAAGTCCTCATCATGTTCCCTAAAAATTTCAATGCTCTCTTCTTGATATTAAAAATGAGTGTTCTTTTTGTTTCTACTGTAAAATTTGATCATTGCTCACATGTTCAGTCCATGGTATTCTCAGCATCTGTTGCTTCAAGTCCCTTCTTTATCTATGAGGAAATTCTCCAACAGTCAATGCCATATAGGAGGACTGATATTATGTAACAGTTCACTAGTCTTTTCTTTGTTTCTAATGAAATTTTTCTATTACTTTGCTTAGCATTTGAAAGGCATCTTTTACTATCTCAATATGCCTTTGGATTTCAGAATGTAAATATTCAACATCCCAAGCAAAGACAAGAAAACCAGTTAGAGAAAAATTATTTCAAGAATACATTTGATCTTGAAGTATTAAAACTATTTAAGGATCAAAGATTAGTGATTCAAATTTGATTTATGAAAGAAATGCAAAAATTCCTTTGCTGATTTGGGAAAAAGAATAGTGAATGTGAAACAATCATTTCTAAATAAATAGTAACATTTAATATTAGTTGTTTCCTTATAAAGAAAAATTCAGCATTCATTGACAAATTCGCCAGTGTTGCTTTCAGTTGAAATTTATAAAACCTTTCTCTTAAAAAAGGTTTTCAGAAAATAGGTTTCTTAAATCCAGTAGCTGTTATCACCCTTTCTAGTATTGAATGTTGTTTCCATCTTAACCTTTTATTTGAAAAAGAGTAGAATATTAACATCTTGATTATATCATTATTTTCTCTTCTAGTTACATGCGATATCCATTTTACCTGATGCTGCTGTTCCGTTATTTGGTACAGTTCTTTGTGAATTGGTAGCCCCAGTCCACAAAGCTCTTTGCCAAGAAACTCAGGCTTCACTTGCTGAAAGCTATTTGATCTTAGAAAGCAGTTGTACACAGAAGGCAGTTTAGATATTTCTATAGAAGTCTAACACCATGCATGACATCCATATGAGAGTCTTGATTGGACAAGGCTATTTAAGAACATGTTGTAGTATACCTACAGACGATAATGGGTATGTCTCCATTCACATAAATACAGTAGTGAATACTGTATGTTGGTCTGCAGTTGGAGATTCATTGTGGAATCCACTTGACTCACTTCTAGCAGTTGACTACTTCTTCTATGCACCACTGGTGAATTTTATATGTGTTGTTTGTGTCCTAAGTGTTGTGGTTTCCTTCCTCTAAATAGACTATGTTGGACTCTTCCACCTACTATAAGATTACTAGGAAAGAAGGCCTTGGGGGAACAGTCAAATAGATTGAATGCTGGGTCAACCAACACACACTCACTTTACTATTGATCTTATTGTTTAATATGTGATATATCTGCAACACTTGTTTTGTTATTTCTTTAACCATTTACTTGGTCCACAACACTAAGTATAATCATTCATTACCAACCTCTGTGTGATTATTTTATTCAGTAACCTTCCCTAGGTTACAAAAGAATATGAATCAAGTTTTCAAGTTAATGTTTTGGTTTGGTAGCAATTTGCAGTGTTGAGTGAGACTATCTCTAGTGCAGCCCATTCTGAGTTCAGTTTCTTTCAAAATCCAATCAGCGAAAAAAGTAGAAGGAAAAAAAAAATGAAAATTAAGAATGACTGGAGGGTTTCAAGCCAGTTTCCAAGCAAGTTTTCAGTAATCACATCAGAGAAATAAGTTCAAGGCAAGAATAATTGAATAATGTGTTTAGAAGTTAGAGATTTAGGCTGAGTGTGAAGAAGACATGAGGAGTTGTCAGGTTTGTAGTCAAAAACAGCCAGAAGTAAAAATCAAGAATAAGTGATGAAGACAGGATGAAATAAGATGAAGGGAAAAGAAGAGAATAGAGAAAAAAAAAAGAGTAAGATTACAAAAATGAAGGAGGGGTTGAAAGAAATGGAGGAAAGTAAGAAAGAGTCAGAGAAAGATTAAATAAGAAAGAAAAAATAAAAAGGAAAATATGATCAGTGTATGGCAGTGGGTAAAAAGCACAAGAGATGCAGAAAGAGGAAAAAAACAGAGAAAGGAATGGGAGTAGTGGGAGGAAGAAAACAGATGGAAGAGAAGAATAAAAAAAGTGTAAAATGAAGGAGGAGCAAAAGAGAAGTAAAAAGAACAAAAAGTAGTGAAAGGAAGAGAGTAAGAGGATAGAGAGGGGAAGCAGGCAGTAGTGAAAAAGAAAAGAAAGGAAGAAGAAAATTATGGAAGATGGAAAAGAAAAAAGCAGGGAGAAGCAGAGAGATTGAAGAATGGGGAAAGGATGCAAGGAAAAGGAGAAAGTAAGGGAGCAAATGGGGTTGAAATGAAGGAAAGAAGTAAAAATAAGAGAGAAGAGATGGAGAGAGAGAGAGAGAGAAAAGTGAAGAAAAAAGAGTGGGAAAGAGTAAAATGTCATGATAGTAAAAAAGAAAACAAGAAAGAAGAAAAATGGGAAAGGATCAGTAAGTCTATAGCCCTATTTTTTTAATTTTTTTTTTATTTTTAAACGTTTCACCCCAAGCAAGGCAAGAAGCCACTAGGACGCAAGGGGTTACAGAAGATTTAGAGCAAGATCAGATAGGAGTGATAGAAGAAAGGATGAGGGTAGTGGATAGATCAAGGCAACTGGAGATGTCGATTGATATTACATTTGAATAGCTGGAGATTATAGCTGTCAGGTAAACTGGAATAGGGAAGGGAGTTCCACAGGCGAGAGGTGCGAGACATGAAGCTATTGGAGTAGAAGAGACAGCTACATTTAGGAGTTTCGACAGTGAAAGGGTGAGAGCGGGATGCCAGCCTCGTAGGGCGCTTGAACTTATGAAGTCTGGGAACCAGCAAATGCAGCTCCTCGGAGCAATTGCCATGAAAGTGATACAGTTAATAGCGGAAAGTTGATCTGAATTTTCACTGTATATTACGTGATTTATGGGGAATTAAGCATATTGAAAAATAAATAATATCTATTGCATAATATAAATTGCTCAAGATGCTGAAAAAAAAATAGTCAGCTCATTCTATCACTCTGGAAAGTACCAGACTCATCCTACCATGCCTTACCATCTTGGGTAAGATGATAAACTACATCCAGCAGCAAGGCCTCTGATCAGGAGGTTTTGAGGAAGTGTGGAACCACCTCTTAATTGCTGGTGTTCCCAGGTCCACCCTGACCTGTGGTGGTAACACCTGTTAGGATCCCAGCTATAGGCAAATAGTTAACACCCAAACTTGTGTAAAAATAGGTTTTAATACCAGAAATACTTTGTAATAAAAAAAATTATTACCAGCAATAATTTTTGAAGAAAAATTATTATCAGCAATACTTTAAAAAAAAATACCAGCAATACAAACAGCTATACATTCTTTGGAAAAAATATGACCAGCTATAGATTTCTTCAAGGAAAAATATTCCCAGAAATAGATTTTTGAAGAAAAACATTGCCAGCAATAAAAATTTTGTCGACATTAAATAACCCATTGAGGTGTTGATATGCCGTAAAACAAACCACACCAAACAAACAAACCAAACCTACGATGCCTTATATTTACAAGAGTCAGATTAGACCAAAAATGACATATTTTTACCCTATCTGTTCTGGAGATGCTCAATTCTCTGTTTCTTGATAAAGTTCAATATCCTTTACATGGTCCTGTAGGGGGAGTACTTACTCTCCGCACTGCAGCCTCCTCCCCACAGACACAGCATTGCAATCTTGTCATCACATCCCTATTTCCATGGCAAACATTTAGATAAGCTCCATTCTTTAGTTCTACCAGCTCTGACTTTTACAGTTAGCATATGTCTTGCTACTTCAAACAAATTTGAATCACCCTCATTTCCTCTGTCCCAAATGTACTTTAAAGTACTGACACTTTGTGGAACAAACTCCCTCCTGGGTGCTTTCCAATCTTGACCTCTTCAAGTCAAGTGTAAATCATCATCTTACCTCTTTGTCCAAATAAACTTCACTTTCTATCACCTTCTCTTTCATTACTATCACACATCTCATTCATCATTAACATTTTGACTGTAACCCTCTACCTTGAGTGGTTCTTGAGCCTTAATTGGATAAAATTTATTATAAGTAAATCTTTTTTGTTTGACTTTCTTGGATGTGTTGTTATCATTATTTACACTATTTATATTCAAGCTATTGTCCTCATCTTTGTTGTTTTTATCACAAAAATGAGGACATCAGTGCAAATATAAATAGTGTAAATGCTTTTTTATCATCATTGGGTTACGGTTTATTGCTGTACCTAGATATGCTAAGCATGTGGGGGGGGATGTAGTGAAAAGTTCTCAGTCCAAACAAGAAGGAATCCTAAAGTGATTCTGATATTTGGCCAGTTGGGAAATAGATAAGTTTGAGAACTTTTCAACACTTCTTTGTAAATGGTAAATGTATAGAAATTAAAAGATTCCAAAAAAAAAAAAATGAAGGAAAAGGAAAAGTAAAGGGAAAAGAGGGAAAGACAAAAGAGAATAAGTTTTTTAACTTATTCATTATTTGAGTGATTTATTTTTTATGACTTATCAACCTTTTGTAGGTTATCTAAAGTCAAAGCATATTTTTGGATTGTAGGAATAATTCTTTTGTTTTTGCGAGTGAATATTGTTATTAACCATTTTTGGGAGATAATAATTTTTAGATACAAGTCTTACTAATTAACCCATAGCTAGGAGGAGAAGAGGTGAATTCATACATTTCCCAATTGTTTGTAAATGAATATATTAAAGCAAACTGGAATCCAACTTCTCATTCCAAAATGTTATCCATTATGCCACATGTACATCTAAGCTTACAGCACCTGGTATTCCCAAGTGCCCATCCATCTAGGTAATGACCAGGCTCAATGTTGCTTAACTTTGGTGATCTGTTGAGAACTGGTTTTTCAACATGATAGGACTGTAAGTCTTTTTTGATTTATCAACCTGTGGTGATTAAGATTACATGATTTAAAATCTGAAAAGGGTTACAGGTGCATTTTCAGTGTAAACTCTTGTCACACAGTTCAGTTTCTTTATTTATTAATATTAAAGTATCATCACCGATATACCACAAAAACTACTGGAAGAAAATGCAGACTGGTCAACAATTCTTTTCTATTTATTTATCTTTGTTTCTTGTTAAGAAAATGATTATGTAATTAGCAGTTAATAAACCTGGAGTTATCTGTTCAGTGTAATCACTCCTTGCAAAAAATACAAAACACAAATAATAGAGATAATAAACTAGGTGGCATCAAGTCTAAGAAAAAGGCAATAAAAAAAGTGGAAATAGATAACAAATAGTTTTTTTTTATTCTGTTTTAAAATCTGCAAGTGTTTGCTGATAAAAATTCTCATAGCAGCAAAAGTTCACCTTCAACTTTTTATTTAAATGCCAATTCCAAATTCATCAGCTTTTATTAAATATTGTTTTATTTATAGATTTTATATAAAAGTTATTTGCAAATGCTAATTATTACAAAGCTTAGTTTCTGTTATCATTATTATTATTATTGTTAAGGTATCCACACTGGTATGTCATCCTGGGTATGATAATAAACTAGATCCAACAGCAAGGCCTCTAATCGGGAGGTTTTCAGGAGTGTGGAACCACCTCTAAATTACTGTTTTTGCCAGGTCCACCCTGACCCGTGGTGGTAGCATGACTGGGACCTTAACTGACCTTAAAAATAAAAATATTACCAGCAATACATATGACTCTCAACAAAATCCTGCTTTACAAAATATCAATGAAACCTGATCTGCAAACTGATTTCTTCCAAAGAATACATATTGTATGCATATGAACCTATCCTAAAAATCTTGTCAGCATTAAATAACCCATAGGGGATGATATACCAAAAAAAAAAAAAACCTAAAGTAAATGTTATATAGGAATAAAGTGTCACTGCTGACACTTGAGTTTGAACATAGATTGCCAGTGAGCAAACACAGGCAATCCCATTATTGAATTAAGTGGATCATGTGACCATAGAGGAAATGTATATATAAGAAGTCGCATGATGTCTAAATGATTACTATTTCTCCTCTATCATTATATGGACTACTATTCTCTTCTCTATACTATACTATTTCTCTATTCAGATCACTATATGGATTACTGTTCAAGCGAATATTATCGAGCAAGTACTATTAGTGCAAGTGATATTCGAAGGCGTTTGACACCAGTTTTGTTTAATGGCATTACTATAGTTGTATTGTGCAATTACAAAGTCTCTACTATGAGCATTACGAAAATGACAACGAGAATTTGCTGACATCACAGAAGTGTCAACGAGTATTTGTTGAGTCACAAAAGTAAACCAAACCCAGATGTATGTTACTATACTTAATAGAGACGAATACAGACAGACAAAGATTTCATCCCTGTTTATTTCACTTACTTTCTTAAGAAAACACAGAAAAATAAATCTGTAATCATCAATCGTCAGTTTACAGTTAATAAAAACATAATCAGAAACCGGTGACCAGACTAAACTAAAAATTAGTTTATTCTCCTACTTAAAGCATTTTTAAAGGTACTGCACTAACAGTATTATGCTATGGTGTTTCACCTTTGCTGTGTCCTGGTAATAAATATTCAGAATGCATATCAATATATATATATAAAATCCTGGTCTGACAATTGCACTTAAGCATGAAACAGACTGTTGCCAGTGGGTATTAACCTCAATGTCCACTTTTATATTTACATATGCAATATCCCTTATATTATGCTCTTTAACCCATAAACATAGCATGCCTGTAATAATAAAATAAGCACATTTCCCTTCTCACTTGTAACCATACATTATAATAAAATAAATGTTTTCAGCACTAAAGAAGAATTAGTCAAATAAAAGTTCATAAACTTTTACTCAGAGTTGTTGCTATATTACTGTGGTGAAATAAAAAGAAAACAGCAACCAGCGAGTAAATTCAAGCCCTCCCAGCTGGTATTTCAACCTCGAGTCGTTCCTTCTTGAGTTCTGTCTCAAAATCGCACTAACAGACTTTTCCAGCCGCCAACCGTGAACGTCACTCCAAGCACCCCCCACTGGGAAAAATTAGTTGCTTTTATATTTGTCCATATACCCATAATTCCTTGCATCTTCATGCAATCCCATAATTCATTGCGTCCCTTTCCCATAATGCATTGCATCTTTATTGCATAAAAATGCAATGCAAGTCCTCCCTCATTCTTTTACGTTATATGGCCAAGGACGGATTACGGCAGAGCGGTAAGTGCTTTTTTCTCCCTCATTTTAACTGCAGTAGCTTTACATGCTAAGCAAATCGGCTCTCTTTTTTTTTTGGACAAGGCAAGTCACAACCAGTTGTGCTCGTCCCAGGTTCTGTCTCATCACGTCTGCCACAATTACAATACCTTAAAAATATATTTTTTTTAATATATATATATTTATTTATAATTTGTAACCAGCCATATTTCTTATATAGTTAATTGCTGTTTCCCTCTGCCTCTCTTGATTTCTATATGCCTTGTGAATGATAAATTCTCTAAGCCCTCTTTCTTTATTATATGCCCCAGAAGACTAAATAAGACAGATATAAAAAGAGATAAATGGTAGTGTGCATTTGGATGCCCTTATTTGTTTATACAGTATATGTCAAGTGCTATTAACGATGCTGAGACATTTACATTGGAGAAGTCTTTCTTGTTGGTTTCTTAGTTACCAACCTTAGGACATTTGTATTCTGTGTTGTGTGCAGTGTGACACGTGGTTTGCTAGGGACAAAACAGTCCCATGGAAAGAAAAGAAGACATGTCTTGTCCTTACAGCATTCTGTGGATAAAGAGAACAAAAATTTTCAGAAAAAAGTGCACACCTTTTTCTTTTTATATTGCTATAAATAATTTTAATGCTTTTGTAAATTAGAGCTGATTTTAAATTCAGTGGTAGGCTCTTTCTGCTCATCTCTACATAGTTTATTCTACGTGCTATGCTCCATCAGGATGTGGGCAGTCATGGTTCACCATAACTTTCTACGACTTGTAACACAAAGCAATATTTGCTCAATTACTATCCATCTTAGTCTCTGTTCTACTATTTATTTACACTAGTTCTTTTGGTATGTTACCTTCTGTTTCCATCTGCCCATATAGGATTTAACAAGTCCGATGAGTGTCAAATTCTCCGAGCCTTCTTGTTGGTTTGGTAATTATCAAACTGGGGGCATTTGTAGGCTGTGTTGTGTATAATGTGACACATGGTTTGCAAAGAAGCCCTGTAGAGATACAAGAAGACATGTCTTGTTCTTAGGGCATTCTGTAGGCAAAGAGGGCAAAAACTGAGAGAAAACAAATTTGTGCCTTTTTCTTATTATACCACTATAAATAATTTTAATGCTTTTGTAAATTAGTGTAAATTAGAGGCACGGTGGAGTAATGGATAGTGGATAATTGGATTGAGTAATCTGAGAGTCGTGTTCGAATTCCAGTTGAATCCATTACATTCATTTACATGTTAATATCCTTGGGAAAGATATGAATCCTCTCCTTCTCCCCCAGCTATGGGTAAATAGCAGGACAGACCGAATTATAGCCTTGGATGGCAAGAGGTCTACTACTTCAGTCATGTATACATGATCGCCTAATCGTGTATCTTGCATGGCACATAACTGACTGAAATTCACTTACGTGCTAATACCCTTGAGAAAGGTATTTTATCCAGGTATCCAGGACAGACCAGGTTCTGTATTCTTGGGCAAAGAGAGCAAAAACTGAGAGAAAACAAATTTGTGCTTTTTCTTATTATACCACTATAAAGAATGTTAATGCTTTTGTAAATTAATGATGATTTTCAATTCAGTGGTAGGCTTTTTCTGCTTATCTTTACAGTTTCCTATATGTGCTATGTCCTGTCATGATGTGGGCTGTTAGGGTTCTATGACTTAAAGCAATGTTTCTTTACTTAATATCCATTCCAGTCCTTGTTCTGCCATCCATTTACACAAACACATTAGATATGTTACTTGCTGTTTTCCTCCATCCTATGGCCTTTGACATATCCACTGAGTGTCAAATTCTCCAAGCCTTGTTTCCTCATTATGTATACCAGAAATTTCAACTCTTTCTGAATATTATATTTATATTTGCACAAGTTACTTGACGTTCCCCTTTTGCTTTCACTGTTTACTGTGACTATCAGATTCTGCAAGCCTTCCTTTCTTATTATATTTCCCAGAAAACGAAATAAGAAAGATATAAGAAAAGGTGAATAGAAGTAACTATATTTAGATATCCTTATTTGAATGTAGAGTGTAATGTTTAGTTCTGTTGAAAGTACTGAGAGATTTACATTGGAAAAGTGTTTCTTGGTTTGGTAGTTATCAATGCTGTGTTGTGTACAATGAGACACATGGTTCACTGGGGCCAAAGAAGTCCCATAGTGGGGAAAACAAGATATATCTTTTCTCTATGGCATCCTGTGAGCAAAGAAAGAAAATAAAAGAAGGGAAAGAGAGTTGGTGCCCTTTTCATTTATATTACATTCTGGCAATGTCATCTAGTGAATGTTAGGTAGAGTTCATTTGCAGACAAGTAAGGTAATCCCCCAGATGCATTCATTCTACATCAATTTTCTATAACTATTGTAACCTAGGGAAGGTTACTGAAGAGAATAATCACATGAAGGTTGGTAATGAATGATAATACTTAGGACAAGAACAACACATATAAGATTCGACAGCAGTTGTTAACTGCTAAAAGTGAGTCAAGTGAATTCCACAGTGAATCCCCAACTGCAGACCAACATACAGTATTTACTACTGTATTTATGTGAATGGGGACATACACATTATCATCTGTAGGTATGCTTCAACAATAACTTTAACATTAAAATTCTAAATTTTGTTTGGAGAATCAAAATCTTTTTGTATTCTTGGTATTTTTTACCTCA